GCCAAGATGCCACTTGCCACCAGTTTGGCCATATTTCAGAGCTGCAACATCACTGGAGTCCCCAAAAGCACAAGGTGTGCAATACTCAGAGACATGGCCAAGGTAAGAAACGCTGAAAGACGACCACCACTGAACAAGACACACAAGCTGAAACATCAAGACTGGGCCAAGAAATATCTCAAGACTGATTTTTCTAAGGTTTTATGGACTGATGAAATGAGAGTGAGTCTTGATGGGCCAGATGGATGGGCCCGTGGCTGGATTGGTAAAGGGCAGAGAGCTCCAGTCCGACTCAGACGCCAGCAAGGTGGAGGTGGAGTACTGGTTTGGGCTGGTATCATCAAAGATGAGCTTGTGGGGCCTTTTCGGGTTGAGGATGGAGTCAAGCTCAACTCCCAGTCCTACTGCCAGTTTCTGGAAGACACTTCTTCAAGCAGTGGTACAGGAAGAAGTCTGCATCCTTCAAGAAAAACATGATTTTCATGCAGGACAATGCTCCATCACACGCGTCCAAGTACTCCACAGCGTGGCTGGCAAGAAAGGGTATAAAAGAAGAAAAACTAATGACATGGCCACCTTGTTCACCTGATCTGAACCCCATTGAGAACCTGTGGTCCATCATCAAATGTGAGATTTACAAGGAGGGAAAACAGTACACCTCTCTGAACAGTGTCTGGGAGGCTGTGGTTGCTGCGGCACGCAATGTTGATGGTGAACAGATCAAAACACCGACAGAATCCATGGATGGCAGGCTTTTGAGTGTCCTTGCAAAGAAAGGTGGCTATATTGGTCGCTGATTTGTTTTTGTTTTGTTTTTGAATGTCAGAAATGTATATTTGTGAATGTGGAGATGTTATATTGGTTTCACTGGTCAAAATAAGTAATTGAAATGGGTATATTTGTTTTTTGTTAAGTTGCCTAATATTTATGCACAGTAATAGTCACCTGCACACACAGATATCCCCCTAAAATAGCTAAAACTAAAAACTACTTTCAAAAACATTCAGCTTTGATATTAATGAGTTTTTTGGGTTCATTGAGAACATGGTTGTTGTTCAATAATAAAATTATTCCTCAAAAATAGAACTTGCCTAATAATTCTGCACTCCCTGTATTTCGGTATTTCAGACGTCGCACACGTGACACACACAGTTTCATTACAAACAAACTCCTTCTACTCAGTTCCTCTTTTCTGTTTCTAATTTATTAAGATGCCTGTGCACTAAAACTTCCTGTGCAGCTTGCAATAACTTCCCCTTTCTGAGGTCTGTTGCAGGGGCAACCTGTGAACTTAGTCTTACTCTGTTCCTCATATTCTGCAAAACCATGCAGTTTCTGGTCAAATCAAATCAAATCAAATCACTTTTATTGTCACATCACATGTGCTGTACCAATGTACCTGCACATGTGAGTGAAATTCTTGTGTGCGAGCTTCACAAGCAACAGAGTTGTGCAAAATACAATAATGTAAACAAGCAAAATACAAGAATGGCTCATCTGAAACTAATAAATATATGTACAATATATAATAGTATATGCATTTCTGGATGTGTATACTAAATATTTTTCTGTGTGTGTGTGCACGCGCACGCATATTTTACAAATTAAATAAAGTAAACAATAAATAAAATATATAAAAATATACAGAGTTGAGACATGTGCAAAACAGTGGCATTACTGTACAGTATGGAGTGCATAATGTTAAAGTTCCAGTAGTGAAGCTGAGGTGTCTATGACGTGTTCATCAGTCTGATGGCCTGGTGGAAGAAGCTGTCTCTCAGTCTGCTGGTACGGGACCGGATGCTGCAGAACCTCCTTCCTGATGGAAGAGCAGAGTGAAGCTGACCCCCCACCCACTTGAAACGTAAAGGCAAATAGGCGGAGCGGTTAGTGCTACGTTTGTGCAGATTTGTGCAGGTAAAATTAGCGTTTGTGCTGCTACGGTTTCCGAGATATTAAACTTTATTTTATAGGTCATTCAAAGGTCACCATCCCCCCAGACTGCTCCAAAACGGGCCAAAATGGTCTACTTTTTTAGTGCTACGTTTGTGCAGATTTGTGCAGGTAAAATTAGCGTTTGTGCTCCTGTGATTTGAGATATCCTGTTATTGTTTACTGCTGAAAAATGTCTTTTTCAAATGACCTTTCACTTTGTGTGTTCACTTGTTCAATAAAGTTCTGTTAAAAAAAAAACCCTCTTGTTGTATTTAATAAGCTAAATTTGTAATAAGTGTATTTTTTTTTTAAACTTCAATTTCTTTACTTCAATCACTTTTTGTTCATGAAACCACGATGCAAATGCTTGAGTATTTATTTTTTTAGAGTGGATTAAAAAAAACTTTATTGAAAACTACATTTGAACATTTTACACTCCCATGAACACTTTTTGAGAAACGAACAAGCTAGCAGTCTTTTGCATCAAATACACATTTTCTGGCAGAAAAAACTATTTTTTGGCATTACTGTGTCTGAAGGATTCTTAGAACAGCGTTCATCTGATTTCTGAACAAGGTAAGCTTACATTTAAAATACTGAGGTTTTAGTTACTGAGTCAATACATGATATAGCTAACTGTCTGGATCAAAAGGATTTTTTTTTCCAATGTTAAACATTTTCAAAAATGTCCAAGAAAAAAGTTTCTAAAGCACTTTAAAACATGTAGTACACTGGACTAAAGTGCTGTACAGTACATGGGTTAAATACTCAGACTCAATTTAATAAACTCACAAATTCAATAGCTCCATCTTAAAAACAATAATTCCACAAAATATGAAAGTGTAGATTGGTGGAGAACTTGGGGGAGGGGTTGCTCCTGGCTGTATATATAGTTCAGAAATCACATTTTGCTCCATCATAATCAGTGTGTTTTTTTTTTTTTTTTTTTTTTGATGCCTCGAAAGCCATCTGTAGACAAGGTTTCCATTTTTGCAGTTCTTTGCAATTCAAAAGAGGCCATAGTCCAAAATGGCAAAATAGCCACTCCAGCTGCATCAGTCTGGAAAGAGCTGAGTCAGCAGCTAGAAGACAAGATGTCAGCAAAGGCCCTGTACACTTTTGTGAAGCTAAATAGACACAACATCTGGTCAGCTTTGGAAATCAGTGATCAGGAAAGTAATAGTGAAGGAGAGTTAGATTCACATTGCATTTCTCCTGGACAAGAAAACTGTCAAGCTTTTGAACTAGAAGTCCCTTTTGAGGACTGGGTTAAATTTATTCCTGAAAAGGTTGAATACAATGACAAGTTTTCTCCTACCCAAAAAAGGGAATACACAATTTTGAAACCTGGCACTTGGACTCATATCATCAACGATCTTATATGGAAGAAGATCAAAAATACATGTACACTTGTGTTCCGTAGAGCAAAGGTCCATCCAACTGTCACCAATAAATATCTGGACATCAGAGGCGACTGTAAGGAGTGTCATGGCCAGTTAGAAATGTCATGTGACAGACAGCCAGCAATTAATAGTCCAATGGTGCTCCAGTGTTTCATGAGAAATACAGATTTCTCCCTGCACACTGGCCACTCCAAGCGGTTCATGTCTGGAAACCTGCGTGAACAGATCGCTAAAGAGCTGTGTGAGGGCAGAATGGAACCAGCTGTATGGAGGTCAGCGAGGGCAGCAGATCTGATGGATGTTGGAGATCCTGAGCCAAGCCACCTTCCAAATTTGGCCACACTGCGAAAAGCCAAACAAGAGAGAAAAGACTTGGAATTAGGAGATAAGGACCCCATTGCATCTCTGCAATTGTTAAAATATAGTGTTCCTCACAGTGGTAGCATCCGAGATATTGGACTGGACAAGTTTTTCTGTCACTACTGGAGTCAAACACAGATGCATGTTTATAAGACATTGTCAAAAAAATCTCCCCCAACTGTGTGTTTTGATGCAACCGGTTCAGTTGTGAAAAAACTGCTGAGACCAAATGGCAAATCTGGCCATATCTTCCTTTATCAAGGTATTCTGAAAGAAAACAATTGCCCCAGTGTCCCAGTGGTGCAAATGCTGTCAGAGAAACATGATGTTAATGCCATCGCAAACTGGTTGACAGAATGGATTCGTGCAGGTGCACCTGTGCCAAAGGAAGCTGTGAGTGACTTTTCTCTGGCAATTCTGGGAGCTCTGGTCAAGGCTTTCACTCCTCATCCTGATCTGAAGTCCTACCTTAATGAATGCTTTCATGTCCTTCTTGGAACCCAGTCTGCCAAACTCCCCCCTTGTTATATCAGGGTTGATGTTGCGCACTGCATCAAGATGATATGCCAGTGGGACTGCCTGAAGAAGAAAACACATCGTGTTAAAGATTTCTTTGTCAGGTCATTAGCAAAACTTCTTCAGTCTCAATGTTTGGACCATGCAAAACAGCTCCTACATGCTATCACTGTTGTGGCCCTCAGTGAGGCAGAAGGTGATGACAGTTCTGGAGCCCCTCTTCCTTCAGAAAGGTGCAAGAAATACTTGAAAGCCCAAATTGCTCAAGACTCCATCATCATTCCAGATGAACAGACAGAGGAAAGTGAGAGAGTGGATTCAGTGGATGAGATCCAGACTGACCTACGACAGTGGGTAACAGAAATATGTGAGGAGAGCAGGTCACTTGCTGCAGCAAACGGGGATAGAGATAATATTCACTTTCTCCCTGAGATTATTCCTCATATAATAAGACTGGCAAGTTACTTGCCACTCTGGACAGGAATAATGGTCCCTCTCTTCCAAAGCACCAGCATCACAGCAAGTTCAGCCACTGTTGAAGCTGAGTTCAAAAACATAAAACATGGCCTTTTCAAACATGACAACTTGCCTCTTCGAGTCGATCGCTTCATTGCTCGTCATCTTTCATTCATCGAGGGAAATATGCGGATTTGTTCTGCAAAAGAAAAGGTCAAAGATGAGGCAACAGTGGGATCACTGAAAGTCACAGATGCCAATTCTGGATCCATGACGACTCACAATGCAGAAGACAAAATAAAAATGGATGCTCACCCGTTTGTGGGATCTGATGCTGCCACAAACATTCTTCCGGCTGATGGGGATGCAGTTGAGAACTGGAGGGGCCTAGCTGTTCCACCCAAAAAAAGGAAGAGGACTTCCTACCTCTCTTCATGTACCGAATGGCTCCATGCAGATGAAACTTTTGGGGCCAAAAGAGTGAAAGTGGGATTATTAAAAAATGGAAACCTCCATCAGCCTATTAGATTAGGGGAATCGACAATCTCTGTGCTCAATACCTGTGCATTTGATGCATTTTTTCAGTGCTTATGTTGTGCCTTCTGTGACAGCTCCACATTTCAAAATGCTGTTCTGAAAGACAGTGAAAACCCAGTCCTGCAGCTGGTGAAAGCCATTGCCACAGATGGTGTGACCCAACAAACCTACAGGAGGAGAGCAGAGCTGCTTAGTGTAATGTTTGAAGCTGTCTCGTTGAGGTCTGCTGCGATCCAAATCGATGCTCAGTGCAATATCTCCGCTGTAATTGCTAAGACAATGAGGAACATCTCAAGTGTTTATTTTACCAAACACTGCTCCTCACAGCACTGCTACCTCAGCAAAGGGATGACAAGGGAAGTGCCATTTGTTTCTCCTGCCATCTCTGTCCTCAAAGAGTCTGGTATGGCTCATCTTGGCACGGCTGTGGAAGCAGGACTTGGCCTACCTGAGTCTACCTGCCTCAGGCCACTGTCCAATCCATCTCTGTGTCCATCAGAATTCAAAACAGAAGACAGCACCACAGGAAATGAGCTCTGTGCAGGGACAGTTACTCACAGCTACAACATTGGAGATATCGTGTGGATTGATACTGACCTTGCAAACCAAACAGAATTTCCACTGAATGAATTTCCCTCCAACCTGGTTCTCCAAGGAAAGTCGTTCACTTTGAGGGCATTAATTGCTTTCCATGGAAAGATGACCACTGATAGTTTGGGGCATTACACTGCATACTGCAGGAGAGCTCCATGTGTGTGGGAGTGCTATGATGACCTGGGAAATGGAGTGACAGGAGCATCTGAAAAGAAAAAAAAATACAACCCCATGCTGTGTTATACACAGTATAATGAGTGCTGCCTGCATTTTTCTGTTTTATTTGGTTCATTACAGTTACATGTGTTCAAATGGCTAGTGTGTGTTATCAGTAAGTTCAGTTTTGCACATAAAGTTAAAGTTCTAAATTAAAAATCTTTTAACACTTTTCTTTGTCAGTCTGATGCATATTTGCTTTTACACACCCAGTCACCTTCACCCGTAGCCTTGAAAGTACCCGTTCCATTTTTCTGTCAATAACTTTTCTGTATTTGTTTTGTGTTTACCTTGTGGCTTAAGTCAGGGGTCAGCATCCTTTTCATTTCAAAGGCCCCTTTCCCCCTGCTGCTACAAAACCTGTCTAGAGCCTAAAAAAAGAAAGAGCCTATAAATATCTAGAAAATGAGTTGTTGTATCGTGTAAGCTATGGAAATGTAAATAAAAATGCTTGTTTTTAGATTTGATAAGACAATGAATCATCAAAGCTTTATAACGGAAAAAAGTATTTGTTAAAATGAAGCCAGCTACGCGAGTCCTTTCCATAATAATTGAAAATTAGGAAAGATGGGCAACCAACTTGAAAATTACAGTAAACAGATTTGAACCTAAGAAACATTAAATCACTTTTAAAAGCCTTGTACATTCAGTGAATAGTCAATGCAGATATTTCATTAAAAAAACAAAAACAAAAAACAAACAAACTGTTAACAGAACCCTTTCTTGTTGTCTTTATAATAAAAAAAAAAATAAAAATGACTTACTTGGTCTTATAAGAGCCACAGTGGAGGGGCCGGAGAGCCACATGTTGCTTTAGAGCCGCAGGTTGAAGATCCCTCGCCTGGGTGCTGTGGAATATTCAGTTTTCTAGACGTAGGTAACAACCTATCAAAGCAAACTCTTCATTTTTTCTGAGACAGCTACATTAATAATAATAATAATAATAATGAACATATATAATTCAAAACAAAATCATAGAGGCCAACTGGGTATGTAAAAAATAATAATAATTTAGGTATATGTGAATCACTTCACATGAAACTCAGTTTTGCCACAGAAAAAATAAAAACCTTTAGCCTACCTTGTGTACGTTTCTGCACTAGTAACAAAAGAAATATCAACCTTTCCGCTGAATAAATTGTGTTCCTAAAGTGTAAACTAATAAAAGTTAATATGCAGCAAGCCTAGAAAAAGTGCAAAACTCCACAGCTGCTGAAACTCACTGCCACAGACACTGGTGTTATACAGCATAGGCCGTGATAATTAAAATCATTATATCTCAGATACTGTAGCAGCACAAATGCTAATTTTACCTGCACAAATCAGCACAAACGTAGCACTAAAAAAGTAGACCATTTTGGTTTGTTTTGGAGCAGTCATGGGGGATGGTGATGTCATCAGCAAAAAAAATATAACTTTTAATATCTCAGATACTGTAGCAGCACAAACGCTAATTTTACCTGCACAAATCAGCACAAACGTAGCACTAAAAAAGTAGACCATTTTGGTTTGTTTTGGAGCAGTCTGGGGGGATGGTGACCTTTGAATGACCTATAAAATAAAGTTTAATATCTCGGAAACCGTAGCAGCACAAACGCTAATTTTACCTGCACAAATCTGCACAAACGTAGCACTAACCGCTCCGCCTATTTGCCTTTACGTTTCAAGTGGGTGGGGGGGTCAGCTTCACTCTGCTTGATGGAAGCAGTCTGAACAGTTTATGGCTGGGGTGACTGGAGTCCTTGATGATCCTCCCCGCTTTCCTCAGGCACCGCTTCCTGTAGATGTCTTGGAGGGAGGGAAGCTCACCTCCAATTATCCGTTCAGAGCACCACACTACTCGCTGGAGAGCTTTGCAGTTGTAGGCGGTGCTGTTGCCATACCAGGTGGTGATGCATCCAGTGAGGATGCTCTCAATGGCACAGTGATAGAAGGTCCTGAGGATGCGGGGGCTCATGCCGAATCTTTTCAGTCTCCTGAGAAAGAAGAGGCGCTGCTGCGCCTTCTTCAATGTTTTGTTTGTGTGTACTGACCATGTAAGATCCTCAGCCAGATGTACTCCAAGGAAGCGGAAGCTGCTCACTCTCTCCACAGCAGCGCCGTTGATGGTGATGGGGGTGTGTACTTCTCTGCACCTCTGGAAGTCCACTATCAACTCCTTTGTCTTTGCGACGTTGAGGGTGAGATGGTTGTCTTGATACCAGTGGGTCAGGGCGCTGACCTCCTCCCTGTAAGCCGTCTCATCACCGTTGGTGATAAGACCCACCACTGTAGTGTCGTCCGCAAACTTCATAATGATGTTGGAATTGTTAGTGGCCGTGCAGTCGTAGGTGTAGAGTGAGTATAGGAGAGGGCTCAGTACACACCCCTGTGGAGCACCAGTGTTCAGTGTGATAGGGGACGAGGTGATGCTGCCCAGTCTGACCACTTGGCGTCTGTCAGACAGGAAGCTAAGGATCCAGCTGCAGAGGGAGCTGCTCAGTCCTAGATCCTGCAGTTTCCTGTCCAGCTTCGAGGGAACGATGGTATTGAATGCTGAGCTGTAATCTACAAACAGCATTCTCACATACGTGTCTCTCTTCTCCAGGTGTGACAGGGCAGTGTGTAGTGTCAGGGCTATGGCATCATCAGTGGACCTGTTGTGGCGGTATGCGAACTGTAGAGGGTCCAGTGAGTTGGGTAGTGCAGAGCAGATGAAGTCCCTGACCAGCTTCTCGAAGCATTTGCTTACGATGGGGGTCAGGGCTACAGGTCGCCAGTCGTTCAATGAGGAGATGGTGGAGGATTTGGGTACAGGGACGACGGTGGCCATTTTGAAGCATTTGGTCAGCCTGTGACCTAGTCAAGTCCGGACCTCTCATAAAACACTCCAATGAGCAGATAAGCCTTAAAAAAACAACAAAAAAACCCCCTATTTCTTAACAGTATGAACCATTGTGGGAAAAAAAACAAAACAAAGCAAAAAACAAACAAACAAAAAACTACACAACAACAAAAAGACAAAGCCAAATGCCTGAGACAAAAAAAAAAAAAAAAAAAAAAGGATGTATTTATTTTTTCATATAACAGAAACAATTCAAAAATTGAAGCAACTGCTTTTGAAAAAAATTACAATATTTAAAAAACAAAAACAACAAAAAGTATACTTATAAGAAAATGCTTTTAAGGAGAAAATGTCATGTCTATTAGACCTTTAAATAAGACAATCTGAGTAACCAATAATTTCTTCTTTTTTCTCAGTAATCACATTAAGGGAAGTATTTTGATAAAACACACACGCACCCTTTGTATGATAAGTGCGGTTTTTATGTGAGGATGGGTCAAAGCTGTCTGTGATATTCACAAGAGCCAGCCACACAGTTCAGGTTTCCTCTGCAGTGCGGTGGCTCTCCAGAGGGAGTGAGTGAGGGATGGGCAGATGAAATGAAAGCGGCATGCTACTTGGCTAAATTCGCTCTAAAAACACACTCCCATATCTCCCACTCACAAATATTTGCTTGATAAAGTTGCATCTTTTAAATGTGACTCATATGTGTGTGTCCAGGAATCTGCTGACTTTAAGCATCCTAGATTTTCTAGCAGCTTGCAAGACGTTGACGCTTGATGTCCTTGAGACAGCAACTCCCTTCACTGGAATGATGCCAGAAAATAAACTTGATCTCATGGTTGTAATCCAATTCACTAAGAGCTCACTTTGCTGATTTGCTTCCTTGTTCCCATAAGCCCCCACAACTTCCATCACACAAATCTCCCATTCTCATTTAGATGCCCTTGTTCAAATGATCTGATTATAGGCTATACCAGCTGGCATGTCTGGAAAAGCTGTTTTGAATCTCTGAAAGATTTATGGTAATTTTCCAGGACAAGGAGCATGATTAACGCACAAGTGTGAGGTGGTGCTACCCTCTGTGGCCCAAACAACAAATGTAACGACTGCGCAGCAGTGTCGGCGAGCAAGACATAAAAAACATGAAGTGAAGGAGCGTGTACGATGCTGGTGGAAACATTATGAATGATTTAGGTTACATAATTATTGACAGCCAGGGTATTAAGTTATGGCACCTGTCAGGCTCTTTGAAAAAAGAAAAGAAAGAAAACAGATGAAACAAGTAATGTCATTCATCATTTCAATTTTTCAGAAGATAAAAAAAATTTACACTGATGATGCAGAAATCTCAAAAATTTACAAAAACTCATGCATCAGATATGATACATTTGGATTTTAAAGGGCTAAGCTAAGACAAAATATTTGATATGTTATGTGTTCATAGAGCTCAATCATAGATTTGTTTTAAATCACACTTCTTTGTTAGGACAAAGGGCAGGTAGAATCCCATCTTTTGTTGTGTCTACAAATGTTAAGGTGAGCCTGAGGTCACTAAACATGTAACAACAGGAAATACACATGCGAATGTCAGCTCGTTATTCATGACATTTGCTGCAGGAAGAGATTCCGAATGCACAGCAAGAACAGCTAGCGTCACTCTAAACTTCTAATTTTATGTTTTTAATTTATTATCCATCCATTTTCTTTGGCTTAACGCAGAAACACAGACTGTAGGACTGTCTTTCTGTCTTTAACACAGAAACAAGCAGCATCACAACCATCTGGCTGTAAGGAGACTGTTAATGATTTGATGCCT